TGGAGTTGTTTTGCTTCCCTTCAGGAGTTCATCCCTTTGCAATAAATTGCCACATGGATTTACTCATTATTAGAGTAAAAATCTCCTTCTCTGTGCACCTGCTTTAGGCTAGGGTGGCTTCCCAGTACTGCCCTTTATTCTCATTCAGCAGCATTTCATCACTGTCCCCAGGTACTGGGTACCGTGGTAGCTGCTGGTGACGCAGCGGTGAACAGAGCAGGCATGGCCCGGCCCTTATAGGGCTTTTTCAGTCTGGGGGAGGCTGACAATCACAAAAGAACCACTCAAGTAAGTTTAAAATTATAACACTCACAGTGCTCCAAACAAGGGACACATGAAGCCATGACTATATATAATGAAGGAATTTATCCTGATTAGAGAGGCCAGGGAAGGCTTCCCGGAGGAAGTGATGGCTAAGCTAAGATCTGAAGGGTAAATGAAAGTTAAATAAAAGAAGGGGGGGAAAGAGCAGTGCAAAGGCCTCATGGCAGAGGGCACATGCATGGTGGTCAGAATTAAAAGGTCAGTGTGGCTGGAGGACAGAGAACCAGTGGGGAGCAGGGCAGCAGAGGAGGGACTTCAAGAGGTGTAGGGGAGGGAGTCAGGGACTTCAGACTACACCAGACTTGCAGCTTGGGTTCGGGAATTTTGTCTTTCTCTTCAGAACAATGAGAAGTCACTGTGAAGTGTCAAGTGAGGAAGAGTATCAGGATCAGATTTGCATTTGGAAACAATTACTTTGGCTGCTCCATGAATAGCAGAGTGAGAATGGGTGCGGAGAGGGCAGTGGGAGGACTTTGCCGTCATCCAGGGAAGAGAGATGCTGATGGTATCTACCAGGGTGGAGTTCATGGCTTGTATTCATTCAACAAATAGTCGTGGAACACCTCTGTGCCAGGCTCTGTCGGCCTGAGAGAACAGCCAACAAAGTGGACAAAAACGTGTACCCTCATGGAGAATTAGCTCCTGGCTGTGGGAGACTGTTAAAATGCTGCTAATGCTTACTGGGAAAGATAGAGTTGGAAAGAAAAAAATATACATGGTTGGAAAGGTGGGGGGAACGTCAGCTGCAATTTGTAGTTTTAAACAGGGGGGTCACTGATAAGGCTCGACTGAGAAGTGACATTCAGGTAAAGACCTGGAGGAGGTGAGGGAGTGAGACATGCAGGATCTGGGACAGAGAATTCTCAGCCAGGGCAGCCCTGAGGCAGGAGCGTGCCTGGCACAAATAAGGAAGAGGGGCCGCAAGAGATGGAGCAGGGGTAGAAGAGGAGGAGGAGAGGAGGACCAAGAGATAAAGGGCTGGAGAGCAAGGATCCTGAAGGGCCTCGGAGGCCATTGTGATGCCTTTGGTTTTTCCTCCTTATTAAGTGGGGCGTCTTTGGAAGATTTTGTCAGAAGAGTGACTTGATCTGATTTATTCTTGCACGGAATCATTCTGCTGCTGTGTTCAGAAAAGACTAAAGGGGAACAAAGAATGGCAGTAGGGAGCCCTTTATGGGAGATCATAGTGGCTGGACCAAGATGATAGAAGTGGAGATAGTAAGAAGTGATTGGATTCAGAATATATTTTGCATGTAGAGCCAAAAAGACTTACTGAGAGATGAGATGTGAAAAATGAGATAAGAAAATATTCTAAAATGACTCCAAGATTTTTGGCCTGAGAAACTGGAAGGACTGGGTTTTCACTGACTGAGCTGGGGAAAACTGGAGGAGGAGCAGGGTTTGGGGTGGGGGAAGAGATCAGGGGCTCAGTTTGGGATGTTAAATTTGGGGTGTCAGTTAGACATCCAGGGGTGTTAAGTTGGGAGTTGCATGAGCGAAACTGGCACTCAAGGGAGAGTCTAGGCTGGAGATACAAATTTGGTTGTCATCAGCAGGGCGATGGTATTTAAAGCCATGAGTCTGGATGAGATCACCAAGGGAGTATGTGTAGACAGAAAAGAGATGAAGTCTTCCACTGAGCCCTGGAGCGCTCCAGGGCTGAGAGGCTGGGAAGTAAGGAGGGACCAGCTAAGAAGCCTGAGAAGTCACAGCCAGCAAGCTGAAGGAAAACCGGGAGAGTGTGTCAAAGCCAAGTGAAAAAAATATTCAAGGAGCGCTGAGGGATCAACCATAACGCATGGGGCGGATGGGTTAGCAGGACAAGGACTGGGAAATGGCTGCTGCTTTGGCAGCGTGGAGGTCATTGGTGACCTTGGGAAGAGCAGTGTCATGAAGCAGCGGGGGTGAAGGCCTGACCCAAGTAGGCTTTTGTGGCAGAGACGGGGAGAAGTGGACCAATTCTTCCCGGCAGCTGCTGCTTCCTGAGCTGCTGCCAGGAGCCAGAGGGCATGTACCTACTCACCATAGGTCCCGACAACTCAGTGAGAAAACTGGGGCTCAGACAGGTCCAGGGCCTGCCCAAGGCCCCACAGCAGAGCCGGGGTTCCCCACTCAGGCCTGTGCCTGACTCTGAAGCCTAAGACCTTTCTACGCCTCTGCATCGGATGCCCGGGTGCAGGTCCTTCCAGGCCTCATCCCTCTGCTTCCTCCCAGGCTCCCTTCACAGGCTAGTCGGGAGCTGGTTGGCAATTCACCATGTTGCCTGGTGGGTGTCATTTGCCTAGGCCTAGACAAACACCCGCCTACTGGTTTTCCTTGCAACACCTGTAGCACACACAGGTGCTAGGAGAATGGCAATCAGCAGGCCTCACCCTCAGCCTTCAAGCTTTGTATTGACACATGCAGGCCTTTTGGCCCCAGACAGTTCTGGGTTCAAACCCTGCCTCTGCGTGTACTAGTTTTATGACCCTGGGCAAATTACTTAGTGGAGTAAACTTTGTCTCATCTGTCAAATGAGGATAAGAATCTCTGCCTCTCAGAGCTCACATGAAGTTGCAGGATGGGGATACAAAGGGCCCAGCTCAGGTCCTGGTATGTAGTAAGCACTCACTAAATGGTTGCCACTAGTTTTCTTGCCAGCTGGAATTGGAAAGGAGTTTGCAGGTGGCTAGGAAGTAGACTCGCTGTGACCAGGCAGACTTCTGGAGCTGGTTTGGGGAGAGCTGGATGGACTGTCCTGAACCTCGGGGCTGGCAGAGTTGGAGGGACCACTGGAGAGACAGGGCCTTCGCTGGGGCTCTTGCCTGTAGCCCAGGAAGCTGGAAGGAAAGGGATGAGGGGGAAATAGTGTGAGCCTCAGATAATTTCATTGCATAACGTGTTTTACCTCATCCTGCCTTACACAGAGGCATGAGGGTGTGAGGGGTAAGAACTTGGGCTCTGGTGACCAATGCTGGGTTCAAGTCCAGGCTCTTTCACTTACCAGCTGAGTGACCTCAAATTACTTTATTTAACCTCTTGTTGTTTTACCTTCCTCCTCTATCTGAGAGAGATATTTATAGTGCCTCATTCTAAAGTATTGTCATAAGGATTAAAACTAGTATGTGTAAAATGCTTTCAACATAAGCACTCGAGAAATGTATAAATGTCAGTGATATTGTTATCACTAACTCTCATCACAATCCTGAGAAGTAAGTACTGTCTGCATTTCATAGAAGAGGAGCTGTGGCACAGAGAGGGCCTGTAACTAGCCCAAGGTCACAGAGTTAGTGGGAAGACCAAATATTCAAATAGTCTGCCTTCAGAGCCCACACTTGACCACTGGACACCATCTCCCTGAAAAAGGTCCCCAGAGTCCCAAAGCCAACTCACTGGGGGCGTCCTCTCCCTGCACATGCATTGCCACCCACGGGGATGGGGAGCTTGTCACTTCCTGACAGGGTCAGGGTTCCCAGAGCAGAGGACCCACTATGGTGGAGGCACCTGGTGAGAGCGAAAAATGCTTCCTTAGATGGACCTTTCCATGGACTCTGGCCCTGCTCCCTAAGCCCAGGTCAGCGGCTGTGTCCCCACTGGTCCCCTCGGGGGCGGCAGCAGATGGCACCAGGGCTCAGCGCACAGAGGCTTCTCTTGGCAGCTTCTTAAGACCCACAGGAAGAGAGGGAAGTGTTGTTTGCTGGCACATGCATTGTTCCCGGCACTTCATTGACATTCTTACTGGCTTAGGCTCATTGTCCCCATTTGTACCGATGTGAAAACTGAGGCTTAGAGAGGGTGAGTGGCTTGCCCAAGGCTACCTGCCGGGGAACAGGCGCCCTCTTCCTGCCTTGGCGTGGTGAAGTCAGAATCGGGCCCTCATCTGGCTGACTCCTCAGCCTCCCTTGCAGGTGCCCCATAGTGTCCTCGTGCTCACATGTGTGCATGGACATGTATACACCAAATCACATGGCTCCTTCCTTGGCACTTTGGTATCTTTTACAGGGACCCTGATATATTAATGTCTTAAAAGAAGAAGTCTGAGGGTGTTTGGGAAAGAAGGATGACAAAGTGGATGGTTGCCCACCCTGTTGGGGATTCCACGTGGGCATTCCACAGTGTGCATGCTATGTCCTTCTTCCTGGCCAGTCCCATGTGCCCAGCACGGTCACCCCCAGAGCACCAGGCCTTGGGTTGGGCACTGTGACCCCAGGTAAAAGGGAAAGGTGAGGGAGGAAGACATGGAAACCAGTCATTACCATTTGGTGCGCTAATAACTACTACAGACTTCTCAGTTTTTCCGATACACCCTGCTCCCTTCTGCCCCTTTGTAAACAGTCTTTTCTTAGCCAGAACCTTCTCTTCCTTGGTTTGCCAACTCCAGCTCATGCTGGATCTCAGCTTGGCTTTCTTTCTGCAGGAAGCCCCCCAAATACAGGTTAACCGTCTCCGCTGTGCTCCCGTGGACATGGTGCTTATTCTGTACTGTGATTACCGAGCTATCTGTTTGTCTGCCCTGCTGGAGTGTGGGCTCCACAGAGGCAGGGACTGTGGCCATTTTCTCACCATTATCTTGTGGGCATCTGGAACAGGGCCTGACACACAGAAGGAACGCGATAAACACGTATGAATGAATGAATGGCAGCTGGACCAGGGAGAGAGCTACCTGCAGAACGGACAGCACAGGGGTTCTGTCTGACTTTCTCTCCTCTCTTGTGTTGGTCTTCCAGCTGTGGCAGCCAGGACCCCTCCAGAGCCAAGACCTTCTCCAGAAGGTGACCCCTTCCCGCCACCGCCACCACTACCGATGTCAGCCCTGGTGCCCGACACTCCCCCAGACACCCCTCCTGCCATGAAGAATGCCACTAGCCCTAAGCAGCTCCCACTGGAACCAGAGAGCCCCCCAGAGCTGGTAGGACCCAGGCCAGCCTCCCAGCAGGAGGAGTCCCCTTTCTCAGAAGTGAAGATCAGGGGACCCACCCCTCCAGCCACAGGCCCACGGGATGCCAGGCCTCCTCGGAGGAGCAGTCAGCCATCCCCAACAGCAGTGCCAGCTTCCGACAGCCCTCCCACCAAGCAAGGTACGTGTGATGTCCCTAGTCCTGGGCTCAGAGCCGGCCCTGGATGATGCCACCAGAAGGAGTCTCCTTTGCCCTGGAGGAGATGGGATAAAGGCATGGTGATGAGGCCTGGGGGAGGCTCCCCTTTTGGGGGAAGCCTCTTGACCTCCCTCTGTTCTCGTTCCTTCTATTAAGATGTAAAGAAGGCAGGAGAGAGACACAAGCTGGCAAAGGAGCGGCGGGAAGAGCGGGCCAAGTACCTGGGTGAGTGTTTGGGAAGCAGCAGCATCTTCAACACCAACATCCCACTGACAACCTGAACGCCTCTGGAACATTCATCATGTGCACGGTGCTGAGAGCAGTACTGCGTTATCCTGCTTAACCCTCTACCCACTTTGAAGATGGGGAAACAGAGGCTCAGAAAGATAAAATCATTTGCCTTAGCCATACAGCTAGTGGAGTAGCTGAGATCCAGACCCAGAAGCCTCACCTCACCCCACATTTCATGCTCTCAATCACAGTACATGGAAATCTTTACAGCAGGCCCCCAAATCAGACAGGGATCTGGCACTAAAGACTCCATTTCTCCTTCAGCCCCCGGAGACCAGGAGGCCAATGGGGGAGAAATAGGCCTCCTTTTGGGCCTGAGCCTGTCTTTGGGACGCCCTTCAGTTTGAGGGGGGAGTCTGAGAGTAGGGGCATCTCCCCACCAAGCAGGCAGGAAGAAGACCTTCCCAGGGCCAGAGGAACAGGCAAGGCCACTTGGAGGAGATGCTTGTTGGGCCCGGTGCTGCCGGACCTATCACACCCTCTGGGGCCCCTTTCCCCACAGCGGCCAAGAAGGCAGTGTGGCTGGAGAAGGAGGAGAAGGCCAAGGCGCTGCGGGAGAAGCAGCTCCAGGAGCGCCGGCGGCGGCTGGAGGAGCAGCGGCTCAAAGCCGAGCAACGCCGGGCAGCCCTGGAGGAGCGGCAGCGGCAGAAGCTCGAGAAAAACAAGGTGTGTTGGTGCTGATTTCTGATCTGTGTGCATACGTGTGCACACATCTGCCCACTGGCTCAGTGTTTGCACACACCTCTGGTCCCGTCTGCGCTTGTGTTCCTGGGGCAGTACATCTGAGCATCTCTGCAGACATGTTTGATTCTGTACATGCCAGCATGGGCACCTGTAACCGTGTGCTCTCAGTACACGTATGGGTGTGTGTGCCCCATGTGTATGTGTTGAGGGGTGTGTGCAGAGATAGGTCTGTGTGAGTGAGCACCTAGCCAGGGGAGCCTAGGCTTGAGCACCATGAAGAAATGAAGGAAAAGGGGGCCTGTCCCTGTCCCGGGCCTCAGCTTGAAAGCAAACCCAGGCCCAGGGTCAGGACCTTCCTGGTGCCAGTAGCCTGCCTGGTAGTCCCAGGCACGGAGAGTCCCACCCCATCCTGAGAAACAGCTCATACAATCAGGAAATGAGTCAAGAACAGTGAAAAGCTCCCCAAGACAAATTGAAAGGGACTTGTTGCAAACTGTCTGTAATCATAGCAAGGACTTATAACCCTGGTTACCTGCCATGAGTCAGGAAAACCTTCTAGGGGTGAGGGAGGCATTGTCACAGGAGAGAGAGGGGCCTTTCTCCAACGTAAGAAGAATGATTCTGAGCCCAGACCTCTTACCTCTCCCCACTCCCCGCCAGGAGCGCTACGAAGCAGCCATCCAGCGGTCAGTAAAGAAGACATGGGCTGAAATCCGGCAGCAGCGCTGGTCCTGGGCAGGGGCCCTGCACCACAGCTCCCCAGGACGTAAGACCAGTGAGTGGGCCAGAGGTGCTGCTGGGTGGGAGGGAGAGACTGGGGCCTGAGAGGTGGGGGAAGGGAGCAGCTTCAGCGCAAGGAGCTGGCAGCTCCCTGCAGCAGGTATGCCTCGCTTTGTGTGACTTGTGTCTTCTGGAGTAAACCCAAGTCCGTAAAACCAAGTCCTCCCCGTGGACTTCTACAATCGTGTCAGATGTGGATTCTCATCGTTGGGTTTGCTCTTCAAACCTCTGTTATTTCAGATTAGCTTTCTTAGCTCTTGTCAGTTACTATTAGTTGATAGTACATAAACGAGCACTTTCATGCCCTGCAGACACTGGATATTTAAAGGAAACTATCACCCTCTTATGTACCTGTCTTGGAAGGTAGATTTTTGTCTCTAAGTTTTCTTCACGTAGGGCCATCACGGATTTTGGTCTGACTTTGTGCTGGCATATATGTACCACTGTGTTTGGATGTCTTTATGTAGTGGCAAGATTCTGCATTTCTCATTGTGTATCTTGGTGTATGTGCTCGTGGATCTGCGCAGTGTTTGTCTTGATATGTATTTGCCTTGATGTGTTTACCTCAGTGAGGGTGCCTGTCAGACAGAATTGGGTCAGGATCCAGCTCTGGCACTTGTGATGGATGTAACTTCTGACTTTTCACTGTCTCACTTTCTTCATCTGTAAAATGGGGATAACAATACTGCTTGCCTCCGGGGTTGTAGGTAGATGTTTGGGAGGATCAAGTGAGGTAACATATGTGTGGTGCCCAGCACAGAGCCTGGTACATGGTAAGCATCTAACAAATGTTAGCTGTTGCAAATATCATAATTAAGTTCCTTTGATGTGTTTGTGCCTGTGTGCATCTGGGTCTGATGCTTTTTCTGTTAGTGGTTTTGTTGCTGTTATTTGTGCATGTCTGCACACTCGTGAGCATGCGGAAGTACCTTTCACTGTATGCCCGTGCCTGCATGTCTTTGTCTTTGTGTGTCCCTGTGAAAACGTGGATTTGTGTGAGTGACTTTGACCGTGGCTTCTTCCGTTTAGGAACATCTCTGCATTTGTCGCAGTGCGTGGGTGTTGTAGCCCTAGTGCCTTGGCTGGGCAGTGTCAGCAAGTGCCAACACCGGGTGGTTGTGGAGGAGGGGTTGTAGCACCCAGCCCTAGGGAATGACTTCCTGGCCAAGAAGGCTTTAGTTTCTCTAGTTTTACTCCATCTCCTCCCTCTGTTCCCTTTCCGTCGGCTCCCCCAGTCCAGGTTTTCTCTGGTCACCTACCCACCCATCCCCTCCCAGAGCTACATCTGCCTCCTCCTCCCCTTCCTAGCCTGCCCACTCCTCCCTCTCCCACCCTGCCCGCGGAGCATCCTGCATGGAAGGCCTCAGTGCCCCCACTGCTCCCGTCCGGCCCGGCCCTAATGCCGTGTCTTTTCCCCTCCAGGTGGGAGCAGGTGCTCCGTGTCGGCAGTAAACCTGCCCAAACACGTGGACTCTATAATCAACAAGCGGCTCTCAAAGTCCTCTGCCACGCTCTGGAACTCCCCCAGTAGAAGTAAGAGAAGGCCCAGCCCTCCTCCCTCCAGAGCTCCTTGTAGCCCCCACCAAGCCTCCTCCAGAGCTCAGCAAGAACCCCAGGTCTCAGGAGCCCTCACATTCCCCAGGTCTCCCTCCCCACTCTACCCCACCTGGGGCTCTGCACCCCTTGGGGGAGCCGGCATTTGGGTCTGGGCCCTGAGAACAGGCAGAGGTGTGCCCTGCAGGGGAGAGCAGAGACAAAGGGCAGTGTCCCAGCAGGCAGAGAGCCTGGCTGGGGCCTCAAGAGCAGGTGGGGGTGGGGGTGGAGGGTGGGAATGGGCAGGCAGCCTCATCTCCAACCACAGCCAGCTGGCCTAGGCCAGCCTTAGGCAGGTGGCCTTGCCCCCAAGTACCAGACTAGTCTGGGAGCTGTATGTAGAGGGGCCCTCTTATTCTGACTCTACGCTGGAGGACCCATGCAGTCCTGCCCTCTCTGCCTTCAGAGCCCCAGCCAGGGCCTTGGCTGGCTCCAGAGTTGTGGCCAACCAGGGTGGCATGGCCCTTGTGTTCCCACCCTGCCCTAGTGCTCACATGTGAAGGGGCCATGATAGGAGTTATTTATAAGTTTCTTCAGCTTTTATTTGGTTGCTCTGTTGCCTAGCAACCAAATCAGCTGCTGTACCAACCCCACCTGACTGAAACTTAAAAATAACCCAGCAGCTGAGGGGACAGAGTAGGGTGGCCCAGGGCAGCCAGGCCCCCTAGCAGTCTCTCCCTGGCATGGGATGCCCAAAAGCTGGGCCTCTCCCTAATCAAAAGAGTACAAGGACCCTCTCTGCTCCAAATCCAATGGGGGCATGCCTCTCCAAGCCAACCCTGTGAGAGCAGGAGGAGCAGGGTCCTACAGTGGGACAAGGGAGTGGGCAGTTGAGTCTGCCACCAACTCTGGGTGGTTCCTCTCTAAACTCACAGTGCAGAACCCTTTCACCTGTGGAGAGTGTTAGGCGGGGACCCTCAAGTCATGCACAACGTTGCCCTGGGAAGTGTATTGTTGCCTGGTTCTGCAGTGGAGGTCCGACCCCAGGGCGGACCAAGTGTGGCGCCCCCAGTGTGATTGGGGAAGAGTCCTTGGGCTTGGCATGGGAATGGTACGTCCCGATGCCTCTGCCTGCCTGCTGCAGCTCCAGGGTAACCCGCTTCTCCTCGCATTCTCCCACTAGATCGCAGCCTACAGCTGAGCGCATGGGAGAGCAGCATCGTGGACCGTCTGATGACGCCCACCCTCTCCTTCCTGGCGCGGAGTCGCAGTGCGGTCACCCTGCCCCGAAACGGCCGGGACCAGGGTAGGGGCGGCGGCCCTGGGAGAGCCCTCACGAGGGGCGGGGCAGGGGCC